GATATACTGATTTTGCTACAACAGAATACTGCCATTTGCCAGGAAATTGCTGTGATAAATAAATAAATTGATGAGGTGTACAATGTGAATGGTCCCCTTTCAGATGTGTTTTTGTCTTCAGGGTACAAACTAGAACCATATGGGGCATCCCTGAGTGGGAGAAAAATTTTCTCAAAAAATTCACTCTTTAGAAAGAGAGTCTAGCCTAAGTCTGCACCAAACTTCAGGTCTCTTAGAACGTCTCTGCTTTCTACAGACTGCTGGAACCTCAAGTAATTTTCATGAGAGAGAGATTAGCAAGGGAAAGGAAATCATATTTATTGAACGTCTACTAGTGACCATATATAGCCTTAGACATGTTATATGTCTCCTTTAATTCTCCTACTAACACTTTGAGTTAAGTTAAATTATACATGTTAGAAGGAGGAGGAAACTACAGCTGGTGGGTACAAATGATGTTCCTGGCCAGTAAATCGTCAACCCAGGATATAAGCCCAAGGTTGGCTCTTCCAAAGCTGCAGTCTTTCAGTGACAAAATTCTACCATCACACATGAATTTCTGACAGTATAGGTGCAAGAAGACTGAAAAGGAAGAGTTCTATACAAGTATGTATCCTATGCCCATGACTCATCACCTTGGGATTACAAATTATTACCTTTCCAGGAAACTAAAAATCTTGCATTGGCTACTAGATCAATGTTTTTCTGACTCTGCTTACACTGCTACCATACCCTTGGATTCCCTGGGAGAAGGTGTCATTAAGCAGGACCCACAATATGGTGGGGTCTAGGTGACATTCTGATTACATATACTGTCACCTCTGGGATTTGGGATTTGCAGTAGTGGCAGAAATCACAACTACAGCTGCTTTCACTGTTCCGTATGTGTGGCTTTAACATTGTTTTCTATTTCTTCCTTATTATCTTAAGAAGTAGCAGTTTTTTAGGGTGTCTTTCAGAAGTTAGGATACCTGATGTTACATCCTGGCTCTGCTGTGGGATATTTTAAAAGTCACAAAAAATTTCCATCCGTGGATTTTCTCTAATGAAAAACAAAGGTAAAAAACATGGTATGGATACTACAAGATTAAATATATTGAAATGTATCAGGGAATTTTAGATTCATTGTCTTTGTTGTTTTTAAGGAAGTAACAGCAGAGGCTGTAGTTTTTAAAATGCTTGTCTTAAGATGAACTAATTACTAGAATTTATTTATAAACTTTGTATGATGATTTCCCTTGCATTCAGCCCTTGCCTTCTTTCAGCCATTCTCTGCTGGTGCTGCTAATGCCTTCCACCTGTACATTGAGGTTCACTTGGTTTCTGAACAACATTGATCTTGGTAAGCTACCTGTTAAGATCATGGGCACTTCAGCCTGTGGGACATGGAGCTAATTTTGCTGCCTTTGACTGGATTCTGTCCTAGGCACCTATAGACTCTTTAAATTGCAGCCTGCCCTTTGTCTCTTTCTGCACCTGGGAAAAATCCTCTTTGCCAAAGTCATTTAACCTCACATCTGTTTGCTTACTGATCAATTTGCTTAACGAGCACTTTATTTAAAATTTAATCCACTTATCATTTCTCTCTTGCCCTTTCTTGTCTTGTTTCTCTTCTTTATTGAGGTATCATCATTGGGCTTTGGGCTTGATTTTGAAATGTGGTTAAGCTTTCCTCTAGTACTGAACATTTTTTCCTCATCTGCAGTCCACTTGCTGGAGTTAGACACCCTCCATAACTTCTTCTAGCTGGATCCTTTCTCCCTATGATCCCTTCAGTTCTTGACTACTGTACCACTTTGAATGGGCTGAGAATTTGATATCTGTCCAGAGCTGCACTTCTGATGCTAATGTTACTTAGACTTTCCTTAATGCAGCTCACCTAATGCAATAAATCTGAGTTTTTCAAACTAGGCCGTATTGACCACATCTCTTATGACTGCACCCAGTATTTGAAGCTTCTACTTTTCCTCCAGAGGCAAACTTTTAGGAAGCTCTCTTCCTTAGCCTGTACCCTTGCTTCCTAAGTTGCTAAAGCTCTATTATAACTCATGCTTGAGTTCATGTCAAGTGTCCAGACTAATGAATTTAGTCCCCCAAAACTATGCTTTCCTATGTTGGCTCATACCTTGCATCCTGCCTTTTAGTTTTTTCTGTCTTTCATAACAAAACAGAGTGAGGAGAGACATTTGTAATCATGTTTGAGTAGGGAGGCAAGAGCCTAGGACGCCTAGAGGCAAGCTTGCCTCTCCTAGCACAAACTGTTAAATAATGCTAGGCAGTCATGCATTTCTGCCAGAGTTCAACAAAACAATTTTTCAGAAATCCCTGTCAGTAAAGAGGCAAGCAAGCACACAAATAGAAGTGGACTTATGGCAAAACAGTATTGTTGTAAAGAGAAAGTAGTAAATTTAACTATGGGCCCTTTGACTCCATAAAATATGCAGCTATCTCTGCAGACAGAAAAAAAAAGCCTCTAAGCATGTTCCACTGAATTTTATTAAACATTGTATCTGAAATCAGCTCTGACTGAATCACATTTTAGGGTTTGTTCAAAGCAATCTGTAGAGACCCATTATTAAAGTACCCTGTTCCAGGATAAAAAGTCAGATCCTCATTAGCTGGGACAAAAAATGTCAGCTTCCAAACTCAAGAACGGAGAGAAAATCCCTATCTCTGAGTGACAGATGTGGGTGTTAGTGGTATTGTCGCATAACCCCGGGAATTCATTAGAAGTGTCAGGCTGTGTCACAGGGGCATGTTGCATTGACAGCCCTAGTGGAAAAAAAAACAGTGATAATTGCTTTCATTCCTTGCTTACCTTTTACCTTAGCAAGGAAATACCATTGTAAATAACCTGATGCTGACACATTGCAAACTTCTGAACAGAAAACTGCTTTGTGAAACGTGCATCTCAAGGACTGCAGGGCACTTTTTATAAGAGAACTAATAGAAGTTATCCAGCTTCTTTTACTTATGTGAACACTAAATTCCCTTACTCTAAACTAAAGCCAGGTTATGTAGTAACTCTTGACTTCTTGAGACAAAAGACAGTAATCGATAATAAACAGCAAAATATAGTAAAAATAAAGAAAGAAAGAAATGTAGAAAGAAGAGAGAGAAAGATACTATATGTTTTAGAAGCAGACATGTGTGGATTGAAAATCTACTGAAGTTCTTAATGATGGGAGGGAGTAGCTATACTTTTTACCATTAGACACTCTTGTTAGCTGGCAAAGCACACGAAAAATCCGGAAGAATGTACAAAATAGTCCTTTATCTCCTGTGGGGTGTATCTTTCTATATATAAGAAGTCCTCAGGGAACTTGGGCTTCTGAAATGGCCTTTCCAGTTTATTCAGCTTTTCATCTTTGCTCCTCAGAAGTCTTTCAGTCTCCAAGATTAGTACCACACCCACCACCACCCTACAGCAGTTCAATCTATTTGATCTCTTCATGTGTTTCCTCTGCTCTAATTTTCTAGTGTATATCTGTTATTTGCTTCACTCTCCAGCTCCAGTCTATTATCAGCTATTTTCAATCTGTGTGGGCCCTAAATCGAATGTAAAGTTGAGAATATTTAGGACACCGATAGTTTTTGTAGATAGCTAATTCACAAGGTAACTTTATCTTTAATCCTGCCAAGATGCATCTTCTTTTAGCCTGTTGCTGTGCACTATTATGGTAAAAACTTTTAAAGGAATGTAATTACCCAACAGATTCTTCCTGCCCACTGCACAGGCAAAACCAGTTTACTGAGGCTATGGTATTGCAGTAAAGGAAAACTTTAATTAACTCAAGGCTCACCATGTGGTAGGACTGGAGTTATCACTTACATCAGCCTCCCTGAAAACTCAGAGGCTAGTGTTTTTGTGACTAATCTGGTGGGCAAGGGCCTAGGGAATGGGTACTCTTGCTTGGTTGAGAATGAAATCATAGGGCTGTGGAAAATGGTACACATGTGCTGAGTCTGCCACTGGTTGGGCAGCTATGGGACCTGTTGAGTCATGAGTCATGGGTCTGGGTGAGGTCAGTAGGTTGACAGAATGCAAAATTCTAAAAAGCATCTCTGAAGACCAATCTTAGGTTCTACAAAAGTGATATTGTCTATAGGATCAATTGGGAAGTTGCAAATCTTGTGACTTCTGGTCACATGACCCCTGAGCAGTAAAAGAATATAGAAACTACACTTCCAATTTAGCAGAATTCCGGCCTGTCCTATAAACCTCTTCTCATGGCCTTTCGTTAGTTTTTGGTCCTTAAGAAAGGAGGGATTTAGTTTTAAAGAGGGACTAGTGTGCTCCTTGTTTCCGAGTTAAACAGTCAACTAAATTCCTTCCATAGTCAACTTGGCCTACATCCAGGAATGAGTGAAGATAGCCAGCCTGTGAGGTTAGAAGCAAGACAGAGTCGGCTGTGTTAGAGTTTTCTGGCTTCTGTCATAATCTTTGCAAACGTGCTTCCAGTGATATAGTGAAAGTGACTCAGTCTTCTCCCCTAATGAGTCTTAGAGCCAACTGACTCTTTGTTAATCTTAGCCTGTTTATGAATCAGTGATTTTTAAGAGAGGCTGTGTTTACATTAGCATCTGGTTTTAAAAAGAAGTGGTACTAGAAAAAAAAATCCTTAGTTCTTTCAATTTTATAAAAAGTACATAAAAAATAAAGTAGAAAATGCTCTAAAAAGCTTAGAATTTGATGCACATTTAATAAACAGTGACTTCTAGTGCTTAGGACTAAACTGCTGAAGAGGATCTGATGATCGACAGGTACATATTGGACCCTATCAAATGTATACTTCTTTGCCATTATTATTAAATGTTATACTTAAGGAGGAGGACATTTGCACGATGGGATTTTTGTAGCAAGCAATTTCTAGAATGAAACAATTTATTTGAGGGGATATTTTTGTATCTGGTATCTCGTGCAACTTTAGAGTCCTGTAAACAGCATTTAAAACTGGATTTTGATCTTGATCTTTTGACTACAAGCTATACACAATGAATCAGGCAATTAAGAAGGTGATTTTATTCAGGTTGATACAATAAGGCTAGCTTTCATAATGAGGAAAATTACAGTGAAAAGAAAGGACTGAGGCCTTATAGGGGCCAGTCAACAAAGGAATTTTGAAGAAACGTGGAAAGAGATCTTGTCTGAGTCGTTGAGAAAGGGTGGAGGTCGGTCTTATCCAGGACTGTTCCAGGTCATTGTGACCTTTTGCAGCTAGCTGGTTAGGTGGTGAGCCTTTCTGGAATGCAGAAAGGTTGGAGGTGGGGAGTTGGTTCCAACAGTCCCTGATTTCTTAGAGTATAGAGTCAGGCAAAGTTCAAAGTTGACAGTCTCTTCTTTAAGGCAAATATCACGTGTTAATTTTGTGATGATATTTGTATATTATATGAGTGGGCTCTGAGTGGTTATAACAAGGTCAAAAAATAGACCTCTGGAGGCCTTTTCTAAGACTTGTTCCTGCAAAAACAGTTGAACCATTTATAGAGAGGTAGTGACAAAAGCCATTTGTTTTGGCAAGTTCAGTCATTTTAGAAGAGGGATGCCTAAAATGAAAAAGAGAAACATTAATATCAGAGATTATATTAAAAAACCGGTAGTTTAACTCTGAAGGTAACCAGTCCAATGAATTTCAAGACACTGAAGGAGGAAAATCTGTCAGTTATGCAGCATGAATCACTGAATTTCTTCCAGTTCTCTAGCTAGTGTGTCAATGCTTTCATTGAAATTTTCCAGTCTTGAACCTCTTGTATGATGGCATGGATGATCTGAGCATTTCATCCAAGCTTTCTTAGTGGATCAGATAATAATTTGTCCAGGGATAAATCCAGTCCACTTATGGGCCAGTCCATATATGAGGTCTTCCATATCATTGAGCTTTGGTTCTCAAGGCTCCTTAAGATCCTAAGGAAAAGGGCAAGCTGGAAGAGTACATGGAGTCTGGATGGGGATCTGGGTTTTAAGGTTTTAGTTGTCAGTGACCTTAAGTCAGGTGGGAGGAAGAAAAATTGGAAAAGTTAGTTTGGAGGCTTGTAGCCAAATACTAAAATAAATGGAAAGAATTCAAAGTTTAGCAAAGATGAACAATTTACAGGTAGGTAAGCAAATTGTCTTTTTAAAGGGTGGGAGAAGGAGGAGGAAATAAATGAAACCAGATAAGGGAAGATGATTCATTGAAATACAGAATTCCTCAATAGCTTTACTCTGAAAATAAAATATCTAGGAATATATAATTAATATTTCTATAATTTTAGAAACTGTTCACTAGTGTTATGTAACTTATATCATATGAAAATATTTAAACCAAATAAAGCACAATATTTTGTTATTGTATAATAGTAGTTGGATGAGTAAATTAAAATTTTCAGAATATCATTACAAGCACCAAATATTGCTAGAGAAAAGTAATACAGTTACCTAATTCTCTCTTTGGAAGTTATAAAAATGAAATTTTTAGAAAAGAGCAAACATCATGCACAGTTTAACTTTTGCCATTTACATACATACACATATAGACATTTACAGACACATATGCATAGGTGGGATACATTTTTATGCTAATAAGTTATTGTGATTTTTTTCTGGGTATTAATGTTATCAATGAATTAGGTTTTTCATCTTTGCACTATTATATTTCCTACAAAAAAACATGTATTCATCACATTTAAAAAATAATCAAGTACCTGGAGCGAAATAGGTCACATTAGTAATGGAACTTAGCAAAACCTGAAGAGTCACATGAAGGCCATAACAACAAAGAGAAATAAATCAAATCTTAAAAATAAAATGTGGCCCCACAGTAAATTCTTCAGACTGTTTCTGGGAACAGTTTATTTCTATTTTAGAAAATTTGCATTAGTCTTCTTCTATGAAAAGAGGTTTCATTTTCCCCTGATAAATTTAGCTTTATAAGAACGTGAAATATACTAATGACCATTTTAATCACATGTCCATCTAATAGAAAAGGAAAAATCATTATTTAATTAATAACGAGTGAGCATGGCATTTATTTTCAGAATAAAAGACATCAGTGGAGAACTTCCTAAATTTCCTAAAAGATAAATATTAAAAGATAGAGTATAATTTTTCATTCTTATAGTAAAATGAATATAAGTTGGTTTTCAGAGTTTACTTTTAATTATTAAAATATTCCTATGCTAATCTATCAACAAATTGCCACAGGCTTCAATATTGGCTTCTGATTGCTAAAATAATATTTTAAATTTATTTTTTACTCTTTGGATCAACTGTAAGTCTCTCTATTATTTTAAAGATTGAAAAGTGGCAGAATATACCAACCTAAAATATACCACTTTGGCATAAATATGATTTTGAGCTGAAGACAGCTGAGATGCAGCAGATATAAGCAGAGTACTCTCTCTTCCCCCTATTTGCCTAAAAAGCAGGGCAAACATTTACAAAAGAATCTCTTCTCCCCTCTCACCAGAAGCACAAAGGTTGATCCCTGAAGATGAAGTCAGCCTGAAGTCAGTGCCAGAGGAATCTATGTCACAGGCTTTCTATCTGGAATTTATTTAGTTCCTCATATATATGCCTTCCCACAGTTTGCTGCCCCTAGAGACTCCAGGCCCTTTTCCTTTGTTCTGTCATTTCTCTACAAATTTATTGCTCTTCGTTGAAGACTCTGGTTAAACAAGAGTTGTAAACCACTTCTTTGAGAGTTACGTTTTCCCTGACTTTTCTCCCACATATATGAAGTATACATGTTAATAAACTTGTTTGCTTTTCTCTTGTTAATCAGCTTTCGGTACATGGGTCACAGCTGAGAACGTAGAAGGGCAGAGGGAAAATTACTTTTCCTTTTCTATGAGGTGGGCATGTGATTAAAATGGCCATTAGTATATTAGTAAATTTCACGTTCTTATGAAGCCAAATTTATCAGGGGAAAATGAAACCTCTCTTAATAGAAGGACACTAATGCAAATTTGCTAAAATTGAAATAAAATGTTCCCAGAAACAACACAGTAACTAACAGAATATATCTTAATATTAAAATATCAGGATAAAGCAAAATGAGATTGAATGTGTAATGAGAATTATCTTAAAAACCATCAGAAACGTCTAACAGCACTGACAGTTTTGCATATGACACAAAATATTTGTCTTAAAAATAAAAAGCATATTCAAATTAGTTATTTGGCATTGGGGGAGGCTCTTGTGCGAAGAGTCTAATACACTTCTGTCTCTGGAATAGGGAATGGAAGGCAACTCCAACACAATATAAGGCCTACTATGTTATTTGGAGAAGCACAATAGTAAAAATGTGATATGGTTTCAAGGGAGACAATGGCAGCAATTTGAACACCACTGGGCAGAATCACAAGGCTTGTGAGGCTTTCTCTGTTCCACCCTGCCTTGCCTGTGAGTATCAATTCTCTAATCCTCAATTTTGGGGTTCTTAGAGATGTTTTGAATTCTGCTGGTTGAGGCTTAGTTCATTGGTTGAGGCTTATTTTATCAGTTGAGGCAGAACAAATTTTGGGCCCAGTCACTGTTGTCACCTCTTCTGAATGATCATAGAAAACACTAAACAGCTATTGACAGTTGCACTCTCAGACAACAGCAAGAATGACAGGCTTTTGAGAAATACAAGACTGGTTGGAAATTTGGTTTGATTCCCAATCTAATCTACTGTTGCTCTAACGGAAACTTTTCTCTGTTTTGTTTTTAAAGACAGGTCTCGCTCTGTGGCCCAGGCTGGAGAATAGCAGCATGATTATAACTCACTGCAGCCTGGAACTCCTCGGCTCAAGCAGTCTTCCCACCTCAGCCTCCTGAGTAACTGGAAGTATAGGCATGTGCCGTCACGCCCAGCTAATTTTTTACAAAAATTTCTTGTACAGATGGGGATCATGCTATGTTGCTTAAGCTGATCTTGCACTCCTGGCCTCAAGCGATCCCTATGCCTTGGCCTCCTGAAGTTCTAGGATTATAGGCTTGAGCCACTATGCCAGCCAAACTCCATGCTTGACTCTTGATTTCCTACTTGGCAATTCCTATTGGATTCCCATAACCTCATTTGGAAGTTTTAAAAAATATATTGACTTCCTTCCTTCCTTCCTTCCTTCCTTCCTTCCTTCTTTCCTTCTTTCCTTCCTTCCTTCCTTCCTCTCTTTCTCTCTCTTTTATTCCTTTCAGATCAGTCCTACTTATTTTCTAGATAATGTAAATAAACTCCTGACTAGAAGAAGGGTCAGAGTTAAGAAAAAACAAAACATTTAAAATGTCTGCTTTAAGAGACTATTTTGCCATATGGATGATATTTTTGCCATTTGTTGAATACCTAGTATATGCATAGGAATTCAACATATATAGGTATTTGGATACATTTTACATAAACTTTCAAAGAAAAGCTTCAAGATCAGCTATTTATAGATGAGGAAAAGATTAATGGGGCAGCCCTGCTACAAATTCTTTAAAACGGAGCTCTGGATTTTAGAGAACATCCTCTTCCACAAGTAATAGCAAAGGGGGAAAAGAGAATGATGATGCTCAAATAGGAAGTCAACAAAATACAGTATTTTCTTTGTTCTACCAATCGATACATTTTACTTTCAACCCAGTTTCATGTTTTCCAACCTTTTCATCAAGTTAGTAAAGATCACCAACCCCCAATTTTATCTTTGCCTTCCTTTTCAATGCTATGCAATTTACCAGAACGCTCTGAAAGATATATTTAAAGCTTGATAAGGGAGTACATTATATGACTCTCCACTGTTTCACTACAGAAAACATGGCTGGTTTGATAACCTTAATGGAAATAATAAGATACTTGCAGAGCTTCCTCCAATGACAGAAATACCTAATTTCATAGCCATGACAAGGTCTTATATCTTACACAAATTGATGTTGAAAGGTTTGAAAAAACTATCAGTGACCTCAGGCAACATCTGAATGTATTTCAAAATACTTCTTCAATATCACTAACAACTGGTCAACCAGATTTTGCACAAATGCATTCAAACAGAAATCCTCCATACTAGTCATAGGGACTTGAGTTCAAATAAAAATGTTCAGCTCTCAGCACTGTCACTTACTAAATATATGAATTCGCAGCAAGACATTAACCTTTCTGAGCCTCAATTTCTTTGTAAAAGAGAGAGCTTAATACTTTCCTTGTAGAATTATTATGAAGATTAAATGAATTAAAGAAGAAAGTAAACTTTAAACATTTCAACTGAGTTCTACTTTGTAGATGGCATATGTAAAATTGTGCAGTATATAATAGTTGCTATCAAAGATTGGGTTTCTTTAAAAGGTTTGAGTATAGGTAGTTTATTTGTGAGGTCATCCAGGAAACACTGGTAAGAAAGAAAGGAAGTAAAGAATGGAGAGGAATTTAATTAAATGTGTTATTGAGCAGATTTCAACCGTGGGTAACCTATGATCAATTTTGCTAGAGGGCTCTGGGAAGCAATATAGAATACTCCTCAACAATGTTGTATTCAAAGGGTAGAAAAAATTGGTGCCTATTTTTAATTGCCTAAAGCATAGTCCTAGGAACTTTTATTCCATGTCACTCCTACTCCTGGCTTCCCTGTGCAGCAAGAGTAACAGGTGATTGCAGTTAAGAAGGTGTTGGTGTGCATCCACAGCACTTACTATAGATGATTAATAACAGAAAGTTTAATTTATATGTAGAAATGCATCTGATGATGAATTTCAAAAGCCAAAAGTACAAGAAAAACTGGTAATTAATGATAATTTAAATATAAGTGCTATGATAGTTCTAGATTTTCTAAATCTTATGCAAAGGTAACAATATGGCTTGGTCTTCCCACATTCTTTTCTTTTTTTTTTTTTTAAGAATGAATGTTGCTGTTGCTGGGATGTTCAGCAGTGGTTCCATGGGGCTGAAGTCTATATGAGGATTTGGTCTTGAGCAAGAATTTATTTTTACTCCAAAAGAAATTATTTTCTAATTGCCATTACTCTGATTTATTAACACCTGAGAGTAATTGAAAGCGGTGTATTAAAATGTAAACTATGCTTCATATATGATTTACAAATGTTTGGAAGTTACAGAAAGATGCATATATGATATCTTTTGAAAGGCGGTATGACATCTCCTTTTGTTAATGAGTGTACCACTTTGCGTTGTTATACAGGGTTAAAGGTTGCCACTTCGGTTTGAATGTGATTGAGGTAATAAAAAGAAAACCTCACTATACAACCTTCTTCTCATGTGAAGTATACCATTTTCTTAGAATTGCATAAAATTTTAACTGGTACTATGTATGAATATTTTTTCTGAAAGCAACATCTTGATCATTTCTGCAAAATACTATTAAAATAATCCCACAAATAACATTTTGTAGATTTTCTTATGAATATTTGTACTATATGATGGAGAAGATATATTTCCTACTGTAACTGGAGAAAGACTGTTTTTATAGTTTCTTTTAAGAAATCAGACCAAATTCAGTGGCTCACACCTGTAATCTCAACACTTTGGGAGGCTGAGGCAGGCGGGTGCTTGACGCCAGGAGTTCAAGGCCAGGCTGTGCAACACAGGCAGACTCCGTGTCTACAAAAAATAAAAAAAATGCTGGTCACGGTGACACACAGCTGTAGCCCTAACTACTTGGAAGGCTAAGGCCAGAGGATCCCTTGAGCCTAGGAATTTGAGGCTTCAGTGAGCTATGATAGTCTGACTGCACTCCACCCTGGGCCAAAGACCTTGTTACACACCAAAAAAAAAAGTCAAACATTTACATTTCCTTGTTACACGCTTCCACACCTTCTTTCTTCAGAATAGTTGAGACTTGTCTCATATTTATCTTAAGCACAGTGATAAAAACATGATAGGAGGTGTTTTAAAATAACTGGTAATTTTGAAAGATTTACAGATTAAATATCTATATTACATTTAATATATATTTAATAATTATATTAATTATTAAACCTCCTATCATGTTTAAACATTTAATATATTATTTAATAATAAATATTAAAATCAAAATATTTTTCTCTCAGTTTTTTGTTTAAAACATTAAAATGTTGAGGACAAAATTATAATAGCTAGTATTTTTACATTCCTTAGCGAAAACTTACACGGTGAAAACCCCTGAAGTGTTATGGATTGTCTTCTTTTAATGGGGTATAGTGGGTTAAGAATATTTCTTATTCCCGTGGCATCCTTCAAGTCTCAGTATATGCACCTATAGTTATGGTATGAAATCCCTCTCATATCAAAGTCAGGTAGAAATGAAGAGATTGGTACAAGTAGCCAACAACGGATACCAGTCTCTAAGGTGCCAAAGACTTCTTGCTCTTACCTGCTATTGGCCAGGTAGTGAATTGAGTGAGGAAGGTTTTTGTCCTAAGAGCCTTGAAACAGTATTCGGGACTCATTGACAATTCTGTTTATGAGGCAACAGACCTAAGAATACAGGAAAATGTGGGCACTTAGGCCAGCCACCACCTCTCCATTCCACTGCCATCAAGTTACGCTGTTCAGTTTATTCCTCAGCGTTGTCACAATAATC